TTTCTTTCATTGACTTCATCCAATATTGATGGTATCTGAAAAGCACATTGGTACAGGATGAAATGCTGGAAACAAATGATTCATGAAAATGAAGCTCCCAGCATCAAATTGTCACATTATGTGACAACATTATTGACCTTATATCAAGAATATTACTGGAATTCATCAAAAGAGTCATTATTCAGTACTTTGTATATCCTTAATCTGAAAAAAAATATTAAGATTTAAATAATATCACAATATATTAACCAAACTAGGTAGTTAGTCAGTGTTGGAAGAAGATGGACAAGATTCTTGACTTGTACAATAAGGTTCTTCTAACTATGGTACCTGAAATAATGCCGACTTCGACATTTTGAACCAAGGCTCTTTGTAAGTTATAGCACGTCAGTTAATAGAGGTTATAGCTACTCAAAGGCCACAAATCACTCGAATATTTTCATAATATTAGAACTCCAGCCTATGGCTTTATCCAGCCTATGGCTTTAGCGGAGAAGACTCAAAAGAGCGTGTTTAATACGCTCAACCTATCCCAGTACAATATTTGGCGCACTTTACACACACAGTACAGCAATATTTAAAGTCACAACAAAAATTCAATTCAATGATACATGACCAAATGTATGAAATTTGATGCGAAATCGATCTTAAGGCACGTTGACACGCTGCAATTTGTCAGGCCGATTTTTGGTTTTGTTGAATATTAATCACAACTGTTTTTAGTTTTTGACCTCCGCCCAGTTGCCTTGCTGACGTTGACAACGAATGAATATTCAACTTATATCACATTCGTATATACATCTGAAATCTGCTGGAACTTGGGACTTCACACTTCAGACTTAATTAAATAATATTGCGCTTGACAAGATGTAAATTGAGAATGTAAGAATAAGAAAAGAGATCCTGGGGAACAGTGACACCTGAAGAAGGAAACATGATAGTGTATACTCAGTTGATTTAATAAGTAGTCTTCTCGACAATGCATAGATCAGAACAAAAGACTGGGGCGAGTGTACTGTGGAGAAACCTTAGCACGTCTAGGATAGCTGCTGCCTCGCTGAGGCTCGGCAGCAATAAGGCCACTCCAAATTAGACTTTAATTTCCTGCCCAGCACCTGTGTCTCCCAGGACTAGCCGCATGATTTGTCTATTATTGCTAATGTGTTCATTAGGCCTAAAAAATACCTGTGGTTCCGGTTCCCGACCGACCATATTTTTTCCCTGCCGACCCTATTATTTTTTCAACGCAATTTACCGTGCGACCCTATTTTCTCCGGGTGGTTGCGGCGTCTGTTGTGACACTAATTATTGAACCAAATTGCCTTAATTCGTCCATAGGAAATACGCATCTCTAGTTAATATTGATGTCGGGACTCTACTGCCCTAATATTTTCACAATATAAAACCGGAACCACAGGTATTTTTTTAGGCCTTATTTGACCTTTATAACTAAGGATAACAACAATCCACAGTTTTGGAATAAACTACCCGCCCACATGAAATTTGAAAAAAATTCTAATGGAAAACTAAAGTCTAATTTGGAGTAGCCTAAAAGTTTTTTAAAAAATTGCTCAGCATCAAGCATAGAATGGCTTATTGCATTTTTACTCCCCCCTCCCCCCAATAGAGGACACTGGAAATTCCAATACCCCCTCCCTAAAATTCAATGAAAAAAGGAATTTCCATGGGAGGGTCTAAATTTTAAAAAAAATCTGTGGAAATTCCACAGGGTAGGTTAAAAAACAACATGGAAATTCCAAGGGATGGTTACCTACAGTATTAAGAGCGTGTGTCTCTAAAAACCGCCCACTGACTTGGGGCTCGAAAAATAAGTTCCTTCGAAACTTTTACCGTGAACTACATTTACTTTAACAACAAACAAATGCTGTTTGGAATTTTGAAAATATATTTAGTTTCAAAGTTTTAGCGATTTTTTTGGTCTCGCACCGTCGCAGGACAAATTCGCCGGCTAATTAAACAAAAAAATGGGCTGAATTTAAATAAACATAATTTCAAAATTTCTGATATTCACACCCAGCACCGGAAAACTATCGTAATTTCATCTAAACTAACTTAGGTTTTCAATTACAGAGCATTTGTGAGAATATTTAGCGACAAAGAGCGCCATGTCAAAATACGGCTTTCAAATCCTACTATTTTCTACGCTGAATTTCTTAAAAGTGGGACCTAATTACATACAGTGACTAGTATAGTTGGAAAAAGGACACTTTGAAGGACTAAAAACCGTAATAAAACTCGTCTGCAAACGCGATTTGAACAATTGAGAGCGTTTGAAATTTGATACTCTTTATGGCCTTTTGTTTACATTATAATGTTGCTGAGGTCAGACGTCTGAGTTCGTGTCACTGCTAAAAATGCGCTGTAGTTCTGCCAAATAAGATTTCCCTCAAATAAGTTTATAGCAATATAGTACTAAGGGAGCATTCATTTTTTAGCTGGGGGGGTGGGCCGGAGGAATTTGGGGGTGGGTCAGCCAATTTTGACATGCTTCAAAGGGGTGGGTCTTTTTATAGTTTTGTTATAAATGGAGGGGGTCATAAAAATAATCAGTGAAAAAATCACCAATATGATTTTATTGAATTTGGAAATATTTGGATCAAGAATGGTAAAAAGGTCTAGAATCTATCAACTATGTCGTCATCTATAACAATGAAGCAAAATTCATTTGACGCTCTTTTCACACAGTCCATAGGAAAACATTTCCATGACGTTTGTCAATTGACCTCGTTTTTATCCGTTTTTGTGTGAAAACATCAATGAAAGAAAACGCAGGACCGTAGCATGATTTCAAAATCATGCATGATTTCAAGGTCTGCATGACTTCAAAATCATGCAGACCTTGATCAATTTTAAGCTTTATTAATTTTAAGCGGCTACATTATCCATGACAAACTGCAAAGAATGAAGATAGTACCCACAGTTTCCTGCAACTTATCCTAGTTATCCAACATATAGTAAATTAAATATGCCTTCGCCCATTTAGTACTACCAAATTGTCAATTTTGACATACTAAAACGCTGTTTTCTGACCATCAGAATTCTGTCAAATCTTCCCCCAAAGGCCAGGAAATGGCATTTCAGAGACTCTAGATTTAAAAATTTCCTCGGGCCTTCGGCCCTCGCTTTCAGCCCCCCAATCAAAAAGAGCTTCCGACGGCCCTGAAACGCTATGGAAACGACACCATGTGGATTAATAGTTAGGATGAGGGGTCAAAAAATTTTCAGTAAAAAAAATAGGGGGTCATAATTTTTTATCAACTTTTGTCTTGAGGGTTCCAAGTTTTCGCATGGAATTAGACTTCAGTTCCTCCGGCCCACCCCCCCAGCTAAAAAATGAATGCTCCCTAATCTATATTTCTTTGTTTATGTCCACCGTAAGTGGTTCCAAGGGATTTAAAATAATAGGCATGTTAAAATAAACAACTTGACCAAATTAATATGCTACTCAGGGAAAAGCCCGCATGCAGCGCGAATTCTATATGTGGCACATGCTATATTTAGTGTGATTTAGAGTTTGCGTTGCAGCACACTAAACTATTGCTTAGTTCGAAAAGTATAAATGTGCGAAGTTTAGTTCTGGAATCTTTCTGTGAAATTGATATTTGAATTATATCTGTGTTCTTTTAATGCTATCGGTTCAACTGTATACGGAGGGTGTAGGGGTGAATCGGGTATTAGACGCTTAGTAGATTGTGATGAGAACATTCAAAACCATCTTTCAAGTTGCAGTTTGTCGAGATCTGATTTTAGCGAGCGCGGGCCGATTTTGAAAAGAGCGGAATTTTTACATGAAATATCAAGCGAAGAAATACGCTCTATGACAGTATGCCCAAACCACCAGTACAACTTGGGCCGATACTGGAGACCTCGTCTAACATGCCAACATCCTTCTCACATGCGCCTGCATGTGATTTGCCGCCTGCTTTGCAGCGGCAAAGGAAAAGACAGTGGCATTAACCTGGATGTATCATGGGATGTATTCCAAATTTATGGAGTACTTGTGCAAGTTGGTTCTCATAAGTGATAAATATAGTGCAAATTAGAGATATATAATTGCACTGTTCATTTGTTATAGGCAATATAATTAGAGGTGCACCGCGAATAGGCCAGTGCGGCATTCGCATGATAACATTGGAAATTAGAGGTATACTGTAGTATCACAGCGACATGCTGATAATTAGCTTTACTAGCCTGAGTAAAAAGCTAATTATCAGCATGTCGCTGTGATACAGTATACCTCTAATTTCCAATGTTACCATGCGAATGGCGCACTGGCCTATTCGCGGTGCAACTCTAATTATATTGCCCATAACAAATTAACAATGCGATTATATATCTCTAATTTGGACTATGTTTATCACTTATGAGAACCAACTTGCACAAGTACTCCATAGATTTGAAATACATCCCGTGATACTTCCAGGTTAATGACATCTTTTCCCAGTGGCATAGCCAGAACGATAATGGGGGGGGGGTCATATTCATATATTCGTGTTCTGCTTTATTAATTTCTTTTGAAATCAATTCTTTTTATGGTATGTGAACACGGATATATGAATATGCCCCCCCCCCCCTAAATTATCGTTCTGGTTATGCCACTGTCTTTTCCTTTGCAGCGACGTGCAGGCGCAGTGTGAGAACGATGTTGGCATGTTAGACGAGGTCTCCAGTATCGGCCCAAGTTGTACCGGTGGTTTGGGCATACTGTCATAGAGCGTATTTCTTCGCTTGATATTTCATGTAAAAATTCCGCTTTATGACTAAGAATAACGAAAATGCACAGTTTTCAAAAAATCTATCGTTCAAGAAATACATATTTATCATATAATACGTAAAAATCAAAACAAAATTGTTCAAACTTTTATGAAAGAGTGTGAATTGTTGTTTTTGTTCTTACTACAGTAACTGACTAACTGCTGAGCTAGACACTTCCGTTACATGTTTTGATGAACAAAACAGACGTAGTAACGTGGTTGAATGGATATTTAAAATGTGTATCTATTTCATGGAATAATGGGTCGTGTCAGATTCGTTCAGACACCATAATGGATAATGGACCGCCCACCCACATGTAATTTGAAATAAGGCCCGGACATGAAACTAAAGTCTAATTTGGAGTGGCCTAAACTCCAGATCTGCCTCTGGTGGCCGCTGCAGCCTGCAAGCCCAAAATCAATCAAAGCTTGCCTTCTCATGACCGTATCCAGAGTATATTTATGCTAAAACAATTTAACGATAGAGTAGGATACTGGCCATGATTCACAACAATCGCGATTTTTCCCAACTCCGCTACGCCGGCAAAACATTTTTCTTGCCAATTTCGTATGACATACTAAAGCCTGTTTTCCGCTTCAACCGTATCGTACCGTAGCATTTTCTTTTGTGTCAAAGTCATTAGGCACACTAGTGCTCAAGAAACAAAGAAATACGCTACGTTTCAGTTGAAAACTGGCTTAAAATCATGCTTCTTTCCCCCTGAAAATAAAATAATAAAATAAAGAATGATAACGTTATAAAATATAAATACAGTAAAGATATTTCCTTACCAGTTTAAAATACACTGAATAATCTTGGCAGACTTAGCTTCATTTCACTGAATACTATTCGATATTTCGATATTGATAATGTATATCCAAAAGTAGTCTATATCCAAAATATATAGTATTGCATCAGTCAACTACACTGGTCAAATAGAATTACTGTAAGAATTTCGAAACCTTAAATGCAGTGTTTCCACTTTTAGAAAACAGTTTTTCCTTTAAGTCAAGTAGCCTGCGAAAACAGCAACCTTGCAAGCAAAACGCAAGGCAGGGTCTTTTACTTCCGCACGGTCAGATGATAGATAATATATCATATATTATCATGTATAATCTATCATCTGTGGCACGGTGCTCCGTAGCCCGAGCGCAGGTAAAAGACCCTCCTAGCTTGGGAAAACAGGCGCTATTTCCTTTTTTCAAAATTTCAATGCAAATTTCCTTTCACAAAATAAAAAAAAATTCCAAAACAGCATTGAAATAGGGGCCAACAGGGGTACAGTACGGATTTTTTCCCGGCCGTCTCCTTGTGCTGGAATTTTTTTTTCGGAGTTTTCATTCGCTCTCGCTCTTTGCAAGACTTTTTTCTTTTTTTTCTCCGTTTGAACGAATTTTTTTGTTTCTTCTGTACCCCCCCCCCTCTCATCACTTTTCAAATGGTCAGCCCCTTATGGAGTTTGCTTGACTGAGCAAAAATGAACAATTCTTCCCCAGAACTCAGGAAAGACCATTTCAGGGAATCTAAAATCGGCGAACATCCCTTAGCTGGATTCCCTACAATTTGCTCACGTTTGTGGCACCAAAAAATTAAGATACTGTATGTCAATAAATAGGGTCTGTAGAAGTACTATGATTTCACCCTTCAGTACAGTGTAAGTGTTCAGTTCTTCAGTTTTTCCTTCAAGTTTCCTTGAGCTCATTTCATTTTGTTAAAATTTCATTTCAAAAGAAAATTTCCTTCAACGTGTAAACGTTGCTTAAATCCAAAATGTTTTGATAGGATAAAACGCGGGTACGGATGGACGGATGAGTGACAAACGAATGAGTAGCGGTCGGACAGATAATAGGCGTGAAAGTCAATTTTAAACTCGTATACTTTTGGACAAAACGCGGATATGGTATTGAGAACGCTTCTCGTGCATTTCAAAATCATATCCGCGTTTTATTGCCAATTATAAAACTACAGTGTACATGTAGAATATATATATACAAAAAAACACTAGAAAATTATGAAATTAGAATAATGATATTACAAATAATATGTAAGTTAGTTAATTAGACAGAACTTTATTAGTGTTGTGGACATAGAGATTTAAGAAGTTTTTTTAAAAGTTTGGAATACACCCTTTTCGATAATCACGTCACGAACACTTTTTCGGCCTGGTAGCCTCGCTCTCGTTAGTTGGGGACGACGGCTATCAATACAATGCCCTTAACCCTATAACAGAAAAGAAATGAATAATTAAAAGTATAGCAGGGTTTCTATACGTCGTCCAAGTACTGTTGACAACGGCAAAATGCATATTTTCACGTCTTCTGTGGTACGTTAGCATTTCAATTAGCCGTGACAGGTACTGTAGTTTTTCTAGCAGAGTTGATCAACATTGCTCTAAGGTTAAAGCTCTGTTTTACTAGTTCGAAACTATTTTAAATTCATACGAAAGTAAGTACAAGACAAGATTTCCATACAATCTTAATAATTATACATATTTAAGAGTCGTTTTCCTTATTCTCATTTTTAGAAATATTTTCTTAAATTAAGAATTCTTTTCTTAAAAGAAAATGAGTTTTTGCTGTGTGTGAGCCTCAAATTTGCTTGTGAAACTTATAATTTAACCCGAATACGATGGTTAACCAACTATAATCATTCAAGACTTCGATACAATCATTTATTTCAAACAGTTTGTTTAGCGTCGTCCTGACGTCGCCGTCTTACATTCCTAAACTCCCTAGTAAAGACGCAAGGCGATTGGCTGACGATTCATGAGAGCGAGGCTTCCAGGCCAAATGACGTAATTATCGAAAGGGTGTATTGTTGAATTGACCTTCAAAGTATTGAATATCACATTACTAACTTAATAACTGCAGAGGTCACCAAACTTAGACGCAGGCGAGTTGCTAGATGACGGTAGATGACACTACGGTAGAAGACACTACACTAGATGACGGTAGACTGCACTATAGATGACACTATGGTAGATGACACTAGATTACGATAGATGACACTATAGATCACGGTAGATGAGACTACGGTAGAGGACACTAGATGACGATAGATGACACTACGGTAGAAGACACCACACTAGATGACGGTAGACTGCACTATAGATGACATTACGGTAGATGACATTACGGTAGATGACACTGGATGATGATAGATGACACTATAGATCACGGTAGATGACACTACGGTAGAGAACACTAGATGACAAGTAGATGACGGTAGATGACACTAAATGACAATAAATGTTATTGGCTCTGGGTGATTTAAGATTCATTTTTCTGAATTAGAATCCATGTGATCTCGTGTTCGTATTTTAGCCAATCAGCGCTCAGAAAGGGTTGTCCGAATAGAAAACCATTTTGATGTATTCAGTCAATTATATCTTTCATTATTCTTCATGAAACTAGTTGAAATTTTGTAATTATGTTTGGTTATGAGAACTATAGCTCTGACAAAAATATGGAATCGAAATAAAGTATATTACAGGAGATATTCAGTTGTTTTAATCATAAAATGGATTTCTATTTGACAACTAGTGCCAGTATTTTTCCGCGTATCAAGATCACCTGTATAGCGAGCAAAAACATTAGTGACGTGCAATCTTGAATGGCCAATCAAAATTCATTATGCCCTATGGCGGCAATTTCGGCCAATCACGCAATAGAACTAACAATGTATCATGCAACTAAGCTTTTACCGATCGAATGCGTTAGAGCTTGGGGCATTCGATCTTGGGCATTCGGGCTTCACTGACCGAAGACGTAAAGTAGTGCTACAGTGCGAACTTCGAAATCAATCTTGAAAAAGGATCAATTACTTACTAAGTATAGGTGTGTGTTTAGTGTTAGTATTTAGTTATAAAGAAATGGTAAACTATAACGGAGTTTTTCATTTTTAGTTCTTTTTGCAGTTTTTGTGAATACGTGAGTTGTGAGAACCTGGCCAAACTGAAGGCACCAAGGCGAAGCAAGCTCAGCTGTGAAAAGTAAGTTTTCTGTGTTTTAAACGCGCAATTTAATACGACTAAAAGCTAAAACACACATTAGCAGTTGGAAAAAAAGACAAGGTTCCATATTCTAATCATTTATGAGTAATCCCATAGGATATTCCTGCCCTTTTTGGAAACGATTTTCAGTTTTTCACTGAAACAACACTGAGGCATAATTTACGCTACAGCAACAAAACCGCAATGCCTTTCACTTGTTCATTAATCCTGTATACAAGATAAAATTCGAAATATTCTGCCCGGTTTTTCTGCAATAGGTTTTTTTTTCTTTTTCTATATGTTCAGGATTGGAAATCGTATTCTTAAGCTGCTCGCATAGAAGCGTCTATAGCTGCTTCAAAATGGCGGACCAAAAAGAAGCCACTCGATCGAGTCTTCGAATGAAGGTAAGCTCTGAATATGCAAATTTTCCTCTGCATATAGCCCCTACAGATGAAAAGTGAAAAATGCGAAAAAAGTAATATCTATACTACTCATATGTTGAATTCCCCTGTCCTTTCTTGCAAAATTTGCCGTTTGTGCTAAAGCCTAAAGGGAGTAAAGCGCAAGTCGTTGAGACAACATCTCATTTTATGGCATGCATCTATATATCGCAAAGGCGAAATTTTCTTAAACGGTCTTTCTCACATGGAGTCAATTTTTAACACAAAAACAGGCAAATGATTTAGTTTGAAAAGGTCTAGCTTTGAAAAAAAAGACAAATGCGGGCGGTAGGAATAATTTTTCACTTTTAGTGGCCTTCGACCTTCGACCTGATTTTTTGGGCCTTCGACAATGACCTTGACTAATACTCTTGCAAGTCATAAAAATGATGAAACCTCATTATACAGTACTCGTGGCAGACGGATCGTAATTTTTGCTGCAATTGTCTCATATCTGTGTGATTTTGAAATATATCAGACATGACGAGGGAAAAATAAATATACTAGACATATTTTTCAGAAAGACATGGATGCTGTTGGTTTGAACAACCTTCGCAAGCGAAAATCCTGAAATCTTGCATGCATATGCAGGGCCAAATTACTATATACCGTCATATTACATATCAGAGAATGATGCAGCTTGATATAGTAAGGGGCATTCATGAGTGGTTTCTAGTCACAAAGCATGGATTGACCATCACTAATGAATGATGATTAGTGATGACTAAGGATCCTACCATGGGTTCAGCATGGTTGGCTTGTCAGAAAAAATAAAAATGAGATTGGCTAGATGCCTGCTTATGCAAATTTAAAATTTGATATGAAAATTGGCACTTCTCTTGCATCTCATAGGCAAAGCATAGCCAAGAAGAAGGGTGCACCCTCCTCAATAAATCCACCTATTGTATGTATTTATTCTATTTCAGTTATATCATGCGATATTTACCTGTTGTGTGTCAGTTAAATCTGAATCCTAATTCACAGTAGCTGTAACAGTGTAATTACACAGATCCTTAATGAATATGCTAGGGAAGAAATAATACATTGGTTAGAAATAAACATAGGTTCATTTTGTTTAGGAGGGGGCTGGTGTACCCTTAATCTTGGCCCACCCTATTATACTCAAACTTTTACCAGCATGCCCTACCAGGGGAGTTGTTTTGAATATTTGAGCCAGAGAAAGGACTCAATTTTGGCAGTAGCAAACAAAACCATAGCTTGATTGGCTGCTTGATATTTGATGAATAAAATTATTCAAATGTCAAGAATATTCTATAGTCAAACAACTCAAACCACATACTTCTATGGCATTAGTTGATGAATTTGCATCCTACAGTAACCTGAGTCTAACAACCTAAATATGGTTAGTACATAATAAATATCCAAAAAGTAAATTTTCTACTTTTCTAGCATCTGACCCAGGTTGTTATTTCTAGTTTCTTAAAAGGTTATCTCAGAGCCCAACATCTTTTTGACAGCCTGCATCGTAGTGGTCCTCTCTTTAATAGTAATATTTCGAATATTTCCCATATTCTTTCCAAAGTATACATACATGTATTTATCCCAAAATAACATGTATGATGGCATAGTTCGGCATTGGATCTTGCGACTTGCATTAGAATACTGTATGAGTATCTTGAGTCTTCTCGCTATAGCAATTTTTTAATTTCTTAGTTAGCCCAGAATGGCTATTGTGTGCTTTCAAGGTAACTGATGTTCTTGCCAATCTTTTTTCACCCATGTCCTAATTCTTCTATCCCCCTCCCAGATAAGGAATTGATGGTCCTTATAATGATAAGAAATGTAATAGGCAATGCATTGATCCACCAAATCCCCAAATACATTGCAATACTGAAGTAAAATAAGTTAACCCATTAACTGGCAGTACCCTTTCACTTAAAATCATCTGGTGTTATACATAGTAAAATACCTGTACTCCAGGGTTGGTCAGGGAACATTTGGGCGTGATTGACAGCTACAGTAATCGATTAACAAGAGACTCTTTACAAATAGTTTGTTAGCCCATTTACTGGCACTACTCTTTCAATAACAAGTAAAACAGTCTGATGTTAATTAAACAGAGTAAAATACTAAAAAATACTAACATACAGGTGCATTCAGAGGCATACAGATGCATGGCTTGTTGCCAGTTAATGAGTTAATAGGCACAGATGTGCATATTTTTCTATTTGTTTTTTCTATTTGTATTTCTGCCCAGATGTGCCTAGCATTTTACTCTGTCTTTAGCATTTTACTTGTGTTTAGCATTTTACTCTGTCTAACACCAAATGATTTCACTCAACAGTGGAAAAGTAGTAAATACCAGTACCATATTTGTACCATATTTGTTTTCTAGAAACAAAGACAACCAACCTCTGAATCTCTTCCCAATGACAGCAAAGACCTAGAACAGAGATTTATTAATAATTATATAGGTATCAAATTTCCAATACATTAAAAAATAAACAGAACAAATTTACATTTGGGACTTCATGTACAGTATAATTTATAACATTTGATGTCAGCTTCAATAAATTTATCTGGTATGCATCTTAGTTGGCAGCATCTCCATCGTATGATATTGGCAGCAGGGCTTGAATTTTATCGCGGCAATTTTTTGCCGTATAGTGCAATTTTTATACTATTCACTGTGCATTACTACTTGGATACTTGAATTCAGGTGTTGATCAAATCATACGTAAATCACTATTTTAGTCTCAGTTTTCTTAAACAAAACCACTAAGGAAATACGTAGACATGTTTCTACTGTAGCTTGTCAACAATCCAAAGTAACAATATAAAATTAAATTTTTATTACAGTAATTAGAAAAATGCAGCGGAAACTGCCAAAATTGCCGTAGACAGCTGTTACGTTCTACAGCAATTTTTAGCGCCATTGCCGTCGATTAATTTCAGGGAAATTCGAGGCCTGATTGGCAGTAGTAAGTTTATAGGCGGGTTTCACTAGATCTCATAAAATTATCATTTGGTGAAGTACAGTGTACAGTATGTGTGGAGTGTTAAAAATTATATAATTGCAACACTCTGTAATGCAAAAGGAAATAATTGTATGGATTCAAAATTCTTTGTGAAATCACTTATATATAGGAATGATAAGAACAACCCAGCTTTTTAGCGCTGATTTTAGAATTTTATGACCATGTGTGAGACCTAGTGAAACCCACCTATAGACACAGAATACAGTCTGTGATGAGGTGGTACAGCTAGCTTGCAAGCAAGCACACTCTACCTGGCCAATTTGTATGTTACTCATGTTTGTGAGTTAATTTGGCAGGCCCTTGGCTTGGCATACTAAAACTGTGTTTTTCCATTAGGTCATGGCATCTTTGCAAAGAGGCCCTTCTTAAAAGGAGAATACCTCCTTGAATACAAGGGCGAATTGGTAACAAAACATGAAGGTGAACAACGAGAACAGTCATACAATAAAGAACTTGGGAGCTTCTTGTTCTTTTGTGATTCTTTTTGGTAAGTTGTACAAACATAAAAGGGTATAAATTTTTATAAGGATAGACAAATAGCATAAGTTTATTTAATTAAAAACCTTGAACTCTTCTTAGCCAGATGACATAATGTTACCATAATGTTTATATATAATCCTTGATCTTTATTAAGTGTGGATGCAACATTTTCGGATGGGCTTGGTAGGATGGTAAATGATTCAGAGCCCAAGACGGCAAATTGCCACATGAGAAAAGTGATAATCAACAGCCAACCTCATCTGGCACTTTATGCTAAAAAAAATATTAGGCTGCATGAAGAATTACGTTATGACTATGGAGTGAAAGATCTGCCATGGCGTAGGAGAAAAGGTAATTTGCACTAGCTATTATGCACATGTTACAAACATTATGGCAAGAATTGTAAGCAAATATCATATTAACCCATAAACTGGCAGTAATTTAGTAGAGTGAGTAGATTGTCTGGCATTAGAGTGAAATGGTGGCATGTTTTTTCATCCCCCCCTCCTAGGACTGTACACCCCCTTAGGTTAGAACTTCAAAATTCCAGAAGTTAAGATTTTCCGACCTAGAATTCCTAAAGGGAAGGGGTAAACATCTATTTCCAGAGCACATTCGAACCCTGCTTGCCTAGGCGGGCTGGAAATGTGCCAAATTCAGGTTCATGAGAAAATATGTACCGGTACTATTTATAGCAGTGAGCCAGTCGTTGGTTTTGGGGAGCCAGCCTGCCTCATATGAACACTAGTGTATGTTGTGCCGGTTTTCTGTATTTTTAAGGATCGCATCACCCTTGTGCCTGATTATCATTTATGTGACCTTAAATGGACTGAGTGAACAACATAGGGAGCAATTGAAATTCTTGGCCGTAAAAACAGTAAAATGAATACTCTGCCATTCTGCTCACAACACGAAAAAATGTAAACAAGCAATGTAAATTTCATCCCGAATTGCATAAATATATCAGGTACATTTTATAAAAAACAAAAATTAAAAACTAGGACATTTTATTGGAACATTTCGATTCGCAAAAAATAAAATTTTCAATTCGCAAATGCCAAAAATCGGCTCGCAAATTGCGATTTACTACCTGCTAATAATTCGAACCCTGTCAAGATCCGGATCTCGCCTATGTGGGCTCAAGGGGACAAATTCAATTTTTGGGGGGGAATGTCGGTTGGGTGGGATCGACTCGATCCGATAGGAATTTTTCTGGACCAACCTAAAAAAAGTTCCCTCTGTCGAAAGATGTTTTCCCCCATTGGAAAATTTTTTTCTGGACGTATGTCCCAAAAAGGCTCCTATTATATCTCCTATTGCATCTCTCATGGTCCATTCATTCTCACATTTTCTCAAAATTCAACCCACAAACCAACTGAAGTACAGTAAAGCGGCTTTTGTTTGTTTTAGGACTGACTTTATAATGCACCAAGACCGACTTTGCAAATTTTGGGGGTATCACAATCCTCCACACCTCCCCCCAATATGCACCCCTGGGTGGGCTAGCCTGGTTCTCATATATAAAACGCAAGATGAATAATACTATAAATTACATAATGACGTTAGATCTCCCTAGATGTCAATTTATCCAATCAAAAGTGGTCCAAAAGCACTTTATATCTTCCCTATGTTATAGCCTTTTTAGAAATACAACTATTATTAAATTAAGGGGCCACATCCATATTCATGTTCAAATCAAAATGGCAAAAGTGCCTCTTACAAAATCTGGTTAATTGAAATGATGAGGCTTCAATTCAAAGTTATTGACTATTGTACTTGCCTTTGTTGGTGCCAATTAATGTAGGATCTTTATTATAAAATATGAGAAGTTTTATAGGATATGTTTTATTATTATTTTCATACTGAACTAATTTCGTCTTGCAGAAAAATGGGTATTTGACACAAAAAATGTCGCTTCAATACTTCGACCTTTGTTTTGACCTCTGTTTATAGTTGAAATAATATAATACTGGCAAAAGTTGCAAGGCAAACATGAAATATTTAAACTTCAGTCTGTTCGGTTCAGTAGAACTCTTCCCAAACATAAAAGCCAACGTTTTCAACTTCTTATACTGTATTAAATTCATAGGAATTATAATATACGACAAGTTTTCTTTACTATCATTTATTTGAAGGAATTTGTTTTGGCCGTCGTCGCCGCGTTGCCCTCCTACATGCTTAAGCTCGCTATTACAGTAATAGACTAGTAAATAGTTTAAATAGTCAACTGCACAAATATCGAAGCATATCAAAAATATGCTGGAATGAGATCTTTCATTTAGAGGCAAAATGTATTATAAATCGCCGGCATATTTACAATTATTAACTTTCTACATATCCGAGAAGTAAAATTCAATAAGAACCTCTGGTCGTATCAACGACGATTATTAACACGAAAGGTTGTTTTCGACCGTTTAGAGACGCAACGTATATCTCGAACGTGGGGTGCCAGTAAGATAAGATAGACAATCTGAAAAATATAACGAGAACTTGGTTGTTTCAAGCGAACTTCGTCTGGATTCTGGAAGTTGAAGGGCCTTAATTCGGTCGAGACCTCGATCGAAGCTCTCGTATTTTTCAGGTAGTCTATCTTTATTAAATATCAACTGAGAAACTTACTATAAAGATATAAGAAATATACATACAATATACATCTTTGCTAGACTTTTGAAAACTTTAAAATTTGGACGAGTGATATTTTACCTTTGTTGTGTTGCTTTGTCTTTTTCAATAAAAATACAAACTATTGAAACTAAGAACACGGCAACAAGCACCGACGCCACACTTGCCATGTTGCATGGCGATTACGATCACAAGACTAACTAATTAATATTTCTGATTGTTACGTTTTTGTGTTGTGCCCACTGAGCTAAATATTACTGTTATTAGCTGTAATGTTATGGCTCAGTGGTTGGAAGAGGTCAGTTTCGCTGGCCTCGGAGTGACAAAATGTAACAAAGCCATAGGCGTACCGGGCGGGGGGCGGTAGCCTGAATTTCTTGATGGATATTCGATCAACAGTCGGGCAATTTTGGTGTGCAAAAAAAAAAATGGGACAAATTCAGTCAATTTTGTCTAAAATGAGGTCAATTTTTTCGCAAATTTTGTGATTTTTCGAAAATTTGTGTTATGTTCCGAAAAATATTGGTTGTCCGGAAAATTTTTTTGACCCCTAAAATGGTACACTGACCGAAATTTTTTTGGCGACGTAGGGGGGGGAGGTCGCCAAAATAATTTTTCCGGAAAAAATTTTTTGGTGCTAGTCGGGCAGAATCCGAAAAGTCGGGCAATTTTCTTTCCCTAATTTTTTTCTTCCGGTACGCCCTTTGTTACAAAGCAACGGTTTTACTAACACTAACGCTTTTCCAAACACCAACTCTAACCCTTACCCTAACCCTACTCCAAGTTTATTTCTAAATCTTGAAGAAATTTTTTTGACGAAATGTCATTTTAAGGCAGTGTTCTAAGGTCGTTGCGCCCATCGTTGCACCCAGTGTTTCCACTCGTCCAAAACAAAATATCCATTTCGGCGAAATTTCCTTCAAAAAATAACAGCTGGGAAATTTGTTGCGCATGCGCCAGATTTCCATTGAAACTTGAAGATTTCCGAGTGTATCTAAAAGTCGAGGGTCGAGAGTCGAGAGTAAAGGTCGAGAGTAAAGGTCGAGAGTAAAAGTCGAGAGTCGAGAGTCAAAGTCGAGAGTAAAAAGTCGAGAGTAAAAAGTCGAGAGTCGATCGAGAGTCGGCAAATGTCATCAGAAACAACAAAGTCAAAATACTTTTAACACAATATATAACCGATCCATAACAACGGCTGATTATAGCCGTACGGGCGAGGGGGGGGGGGAGAGGCAGTCCCACCCCCCAGTCAAAATAAATTAAGTCATGCAAATTATAAACGTATAAATTCGGGCAAAATTTGGGGGAAATAAATTTAAAAAGAAGACAGTACATGCAATATGGTATTTGAAAATACCAGACTGTAAAAGTAACGGGGAATCGACAAATAGGAAAATATTTTTATCTACTTCCCAACGACAATTTTGGAAATTTAGTTACACGGAAAATTTTATTCAGTGGGTAAAAGTCGATCGGGTAAATATCTTCCCGTACGCCTATGACGGATTGAACTAATTTCATTGCCTGTGTATCGGAACATAAAGCAAACAATGTTTGCGAAACATAATTTAGTATGCTCAAATTCTCGAAATTAAAGTAAACAAGAGGCATATACAATCAAAGGAATAATCCAGTATAATATAAAACAAAAAATTTCGCAAAAATTTAGCCACAACATTCAATAATAATAACTATTATCTAATAACTAGTTTTATCGCTTCCTTATATATTACTGTCCATCCTTCCCACTTTTGCATGCACCTATTTCCGCGAAAAATTACTCATATGTGAAGCTACATATAAATACTAGGACTTTACAATCACGTGCGAGACATATTACGACAAAAGAATCCTATTTTTACTGGCTCGTATTTATGAATTCACAATTGTATGAATCGTTAGATTGTGATCAACGTGGACTTCTTAATACGCTCTCGTTTGATATAAACGTACGTTAA